TGTTTAGGGGTGGTGTTTTTTGTTTTTTTTTTTTTTTTTTTTTTTTTTTGGGGGGGGGGGGGGGGGTAAGGGAAGGAAAATAACTTCTGGATTTAGTTCAGCTTCCCGTGAAGACAGCCCAGCTCCCATGTTTCATTCCAACAAGCAGTCAAGAGTAGTTAGAGAGTAAATGTATTGGCTAATTTCAGGCTGAGCATCGATGTTAATACAATAACCCGGAGAGGCTCAGCAGCAGCGTGTGACAAATTTAATGTAATTGCTGCTCCTCATTTGCAGACTGAGGCAAGAGAAGCAAAAGAAGAAAAAAAGAAAACGAAAATCACTATTTATCTGTATTTAAAAATGAAGATATCAATAATTAAGAAATGTTTTGGCAGATATGTGAATGTTTGGAATAATCATGATTAAGTTAAGTCGGGGGAAGATTTGTAACGTTAAAAAGAGAGAGAGAGAGAAAAAAAAACCTTTCTCGGTGTCAGAAAGTGAAATGTCTCCAGTCATCTCTAGCTGTCTCTCACTGTACATACAATACAAATTTAATGTCAGCATGCTCGGGCAAGAGAAACGTGACGAACACACTCCCCGCTTCTCTCAATGCATGATTTATAACCGAGACGAGCACTTAACGGGAGTCTGTGCCGCCGCGCCGCGCAGCGCTCCGCTCCGCTCCTTCCCCGGGAAGAGGGACCGCCGGGATTACGGGGCTTCCCATCCGCCGCCGACACGGCGCGCGAACACCCAAGTCATCCCCACTCAACTCCTTCCCGAAGCCTCGCACACCCACCTTCATTCTCCGGGTAATTCCGTAAGGCCGTGCTCGGCGGAGACGCGTGGAAAACGAGGAGAAGGGAGGACAGCAGGGGAAGGGATGGATAGATCCACGGGACGCGTGGTGGTGCCATTTTCAGGCTGCGCTGCGCCCTCGCTGCATCCCTGTTGGCGGTGTCGAGTCGTTGAGCGCAGCCTTGCGATTGAGTGGGAGAAGGAGAGGAGAGAGAGAGGAGGAGAGGCTGGGAAGGAGGGTCCACAATCAGCAAAGTCCTGTCAATCAGTCTGACTGTGGTGTGATCCAGAGAGAGGCCTGTGGGGGACTTGACAGTTTTACACTCTAACAAATGATATTTGATTATCATGCGAGTTTTAAAGTTCTGTTTTATAATTGATGGAAAATAACAACACTTAGGGGGAAACTACACAATTTCTTAGCAGAACAAGTAAAAAAAAAGAGAAGAGAACATTAAACAATAAAAAAAGGGAATAAGAATTGTTATAAAAGAGAAATTTAAAAGGCATAAAGTCAGGATATCTCCCAAGGAGTTGACATTTCCACAAAAGACAGTGCCTTGAAAACATTTTCATACCCTTTTGGCTCACATTTATCTGCACTACTCACACCGAGAGGCTGGAGAGGCGACTTTATGAGGTAGACCAACATGGAGTGGTGTCTGGTTGTGAATAGGATGGAAAATAATGGTTTGAAAAAAATTGTCTACAAATAATTATCTGGAAACTATGAGGGATGCATTCACATTCAATCCCCCTGAATTAAACTTCTGTGGGACCAACATCTGCTGCAGTTACAGCAGCAGGTCTTGTTTAGTAAAATCTGTTTTAGTTTTCTACATCTACATAAATATCTGCCCATTCTTTGCAGTCTCAGTCAGACTGAATGTATTGTATGTTATAACACCAGTTTTCAAGACTTGGTGAGACTCCGTATTGTACTTAGCCACGTGATTTGACTGGGTCATTGCAACAAAAAAAAAGTATGCTTCGATCCATTGTTGCCCTGATTGGTACATTTAGGATTGTTTTGCTAGAAGGTGAATCTCTGCTCCAATCTAATGTCACATTTTCATCTAAAATTCAAGCGTAATCGGCCACCTGACCAGAGCACATTTCCACATGTTTGCAGTGCATGGCTCACAGGAAACAAGAAACAGACTCCTTATGTCTTTCTTTTCTTCAACAGTGCGTTTTGTCTTATCACTCTTAAATGTATGACTGATAGTTATCCAGTCACCAAATTCTTTTGCTGGTGCAATAGCTAATGTTTCATATCAGAGCTAAGGGTTGTGAGTACAAATCGATACAACAAACCTTTTTGTTTTTCTTTTGAAAACCATTCATCTTCCTCCTGTGTTGTTTATATCCCTTAAAAAGCAAACAAATATAGAAAAGCTGTTAATTGAAGATGTGACAGAATTTGAAAAAGCTCAAGAGGTGTGATTTCTTTTCAAAGGCAATGTTTTTGACAAATCACATGAAATTAATCGAATGAATGATTTAGCAAAAAAGCTTCAAAAATTACAGCTTTTGTTGTTTTATAAAAAAAAAAAAAGTTCAGTTCACTAAAAATAAAATCACACCCACAGAACCAGAACATTGCTTGCAGGAACAAACCGTGACAAAACCAGACCTCTCATTACCAATCCTCTGGGTTGGGATCACCTGGATAAACAGTCCCTTCCCACAGTTTTTTTTTTTTGTTGTTTTTTTTTTTTTTTGAAAACACTGTCAATTATTTTGATAAGTGACACGGCTCATGGCAATTACTGCTTGGCTCGCCTCGTTCTTCTCCGGGCCTTCGCCCAGCTGTTGATGCTGTTCCACTGGATACCAGCAGTATCAGAGAATGCAGATGCTTTATGGAGATTTATTCAACCCATGTTATATGTATGGGACACCCTGCATGTCTGCATGTGCAATGTTTTAGTGAATGCAGCTGTTGGAAAAAAAAAAAAATAATAATGAGTGGAAGTTGTCTTGGGAAATGTTGGAGGAAAAACTGAGGTTAGGAGGTTAGGTGTGCAATCTTTACCACACCATGTAACACAGCTACGGCTAAATGTTAGGTTTAGCAGCAAAATAAACATGATGGAAAGTTTCGTTTTTGATGCAAATTTACAACAAGTACGTATGGAATACTTTAAATTAAGTTTTAAATGATTTAGTAGAAGTACCATGCTGCGGTTTTTGCAGAGTTGTCAAAAGTATTTGACACTGCGGATCATAGTCTGTTATGTCTAGACTTCATGACATTGGCTGTTCAGACCAAACTGTTTGCTAGTTTTCAGACAGTTTTCCTGGTGGAATAATGCTGTGTGTTAAAAACTCCACAATTGCTCCTCTTGTTATCTTGATGTCACAAAAGGTGTGCCTCCAGGCTCTGTATTAAGTCCTACAGTCTTTGCAATTTATATTAAGAAGTTGGAACAAAATGCAGGTGTTACATCTCCATACTGATGACACCGTCATACAAACACAGTTGCCATAGTTTTTAATCATCTACTGTCTGTCTTTGACACAACTTGGTCACATGTTTTCCATCTCACATTGGTGCTTATTACTGATAGGTATTGCAGACAGGTAAAAGAATTTGCAATTTGTGTCTGGCATTTTCAATCAATACAAATCTTTCAAGTCATATATTGATAATAAAAACTTTTTTTTTTTTTTTTTTTTAGAAAAATAGGATATGTCAATTAATAAAACAGCCTCTGATCACAATATTGTATTACTTCAGCAAAACTCACCGTTTTTTTTTTTTTTTTTAGAAAAATAGGATA